AACCCCTTAAAGTGACGGAACAACCCCTTAAAGTGACGGATAAACCCCTTAAAGTGACTGAACAACCCCTTAAAGTGACGGAACAACCCCTTAAAGTGACGGAACAACCCCTTAAAGTGATGGAACAACCCCTTAAAGTGATGGAACAACCCCTTAAAGTGACGGAACAACCCCTTAAAGTGACGGAACAACCCCTTAAAGTGACGGAACAACCCATTAAAGTGACGGAACAACCCCTTAAAGTGACGGAACAACCCCTTAAAGTGACGGAACAACCCCTTAAAGTGATGGAACAACCCATTAAAGTAACGGAACAACCCCTTAAAGTGACGGATAACCCCTTAAAGTGACAGAACAACCCCTTAAAGTGATGCAACAACCCCTTAAAGTAATGCAACAACCCCTTAAAGTGATGGAACAACCCCTTAGAGTGACTGAACAACCCCTTAAAGTGACTGAACAACCCCTTAAAGTGACGGAACAACCCCTTAAAGTGACTGAACAAACCCCTTAGAGTGACTGAACAACCCCTTAAAGTGACGGAACAACCCCTTAAAGTGACGGAACAACCCCTTAAAGTGACGGAACAACCCCTTAAAGTGACGGAACAACCCCTTAAAGTGACGGAACAACCCCTTAAAGTGATGGAACAACCCCTTAAAGTGACGGAACAACCCCTTAAAGTGACGGAACAACCCCTTAAAGTGACGGAACAACCCTTAAAGTGACGGAACAACCCTTAAAGTGACGGAACAACCCCTTAAAGTGACGGATAACCCCTTAAAGTGACTGAACAACCCCTTAAAGTGACGGAACAACCCCTTAAAGTGACGGAACAAACCCCTTAGAGTGACTGAACAACCCCTTAAAGTGACGGAACAACCCCTTAAAGTGACTGAACAACCCCATAAAGTGACGGAACAACCCCTTAGAGTGACTGAACAACCCCTTAAAGTGACTGAACAACCCCTTAAAGTGACGGAACAACCCCTTAAAGTGACTGAACAACCCCTTAAAGTGACTGAACAACCCCTCAAAGTGACTGAACAACCCCTCAAAGTGACTGAACAACCCCTTAAAGTGACTGAACAACCCCTTAAAGTGACTGAACAACCTCATAAAGTGACGGAACAACCCCTTAGAGTGACTGAAGAACCCCTTAGAGTGACTGAACAACCCCTTAAAGTGACTGAACAACCCCTTAAAGTGACGGAACAACCCTTTAAAGTGACTGAACAACAACTTAAAGTGACTGAACAACCTCATAAAGTGACTGAACAACCCCTTAGAGTGACTGAACAACCCCTTAAAGTGACTGAACAACCCCTTAAAGTGACTGAACAACCCCTTAAAGTTACTGAACAACCCCTTAAAGTGACGGAACAACCCCTAAAGTGACTGAACAACCCCTTAAAGTGACTGAACAACCCCTTAAAGTTACTGAACAACCCCTAAAGTGACTGAACAACCCCTTAAAGTGACTGAACAACCCCTTAAAGTGACTGAACAACCCCTTAAAGTGACTGAACAACCGCTTAAAGTGACGGAACAACCCCTTAAAGTGACTGAACAACCCCTTAAAGTGACGGAACAACCCCTTAAAGTGATTGAACAACCCCTTAAAGTTACTGAACAACCCCTAAAGTGACTGAACAACCCCTTAAAGTGACTGAACAACCCCTTAAAGTGACTGAACAACCCCTTAAAGTGACTGAACAACCGCTTAAAGTGACGGAACAACCCCTTAAAGTGACTGAACAACCCCTTAAAGTGACGGAACAACCCCTTAAAGTGACTGAACAACCCCTTAAAGTGACTGAACAACCCCTTAAAGTGACGGAACAACCCCTTAAAGTGACTGAACAACCCCTTAAAGTGACTGAACAACCCCTTAAAGTTATGGAACAACCCCTTAAAGTGACTGAACAACCCCCTTAAAGTGACTGAACAACCCCTCAAAGTGACTGAACAACCCCTTAAATTGACTGAACCACCCCTAAACTGACTGAACAACCCCTTAAAGTGACTGAAGAACCCCTTAAAGTGACTGAAGAACCCATTAAAGTGACTGAACAACCCCTTAAAGTGACTGAACAACCCCTAAAGTGACTGAACAACCCCTTAAAGTGACTGAAGAACCCATTAAAGTGACTGAACTACCCCTTAAAGTGACTGAACAACCCCTAAAGTGACTGAACAACCCCTTAAAGTGACTGAACAACCCCTTAAAGTGACTGAACAACCCCTTAAAGTGACTGAACAACCCCTTAGAGTGACTGAACAACCCCTGAAAGTGACTGAACAACCCCTTAAAGTGACTAAAGAACCCTTTAAAGTGACGGAACAACCCCTTAAAGTGACTAAAGAACCCCTGAAAGTGACGGAACAACCGCATAAAGTGACGGAACAAACCCCTTAAAGTGACGGAACAACCCCATAAAGTGACTGAACAACCCCTTAGAGTTTTGGAACAACCCCTTAAGTGACTGAACAACCCCTTAAAGTGACTGAACAACCCCTTAAAGTGACTGAACAACCCGTTAAAGTGACTGAACAACCCCTTAAAGTGACTGAACAACCCCTTAAAGTGACTGAACAACCCCTTAAAGTGACTGAACAACCCCTTAAAGTGACTGAACAACCACAGCCAAATAACCGAACAATTCCCCCCCCCCTCCCCGTCAAGTGCGTAAACAGTTCCTCCCCCTCCCCCACCCCCCCTAACGACTGATGGCACAGCCCCACCCCCACCTGTCAACTGCCGCTGTCAAATGGCTCCTGTCAAAGACCCACAATGGCGCACTTCGCCCCAAAGGCCGCTGTCACACACACACATATTGCAACTTTTTTTGTTCATTTTCTGCAACGTTGCTAATAGTTCTGACCTGTCAGTTCTCAGTTCGCGGGGCAGGTTGTAGCTCTTGGGCTCGCCTCTAGGGTTTTTTGGTTTGATTCTTCTCGTTGATTTCCTCCTTCTATTTCCTCAATCACACATATTTCTTTCCATGTATCCATGACACATTTGTACCCTCCAATGTATTCCCTGAATATACATTTCTTCCCCATATATACATGTCATATACGTACCTTCTAGTGTAAGCATGACCCATTCATTCTTTGCCAAATAGCATTGTGATGGCCATTCAAATTTCAAAAGGCTAAGGGAGCTAAACCTCACGTCGCTCGAAGATGGAAGAGTAAGGGTAGACATGATCACCACCTTCAAAATTCTCAAAGGAATCAACAGGGTAGATAAAGATAAAGTGTTTAACACGGGTGGTACGCGAACAAGGGGACACAGGTGGAAACTGAGTACCCACATGAGCCACAGAGACGTTAGAAGAAACATTTTTAGTGTCAGAGTAGTTAACAGGTAAAATGCATTAGGGGGTGATGTGGTGGAGGCTGACTCCATACACAGTTTATAATGTTGATATGATAGAGCCCAGTAGGCTCAGGAACCTGTACACCAGTTGATTGACAGTTGAGAGGCGGGACCAAAGAGCCAGAGCTCAACCCCCGCAAGCACAATTAGGTGAGTACAACTAGGTGAGTACACACACACACTCACACACACACACACACACACACACACACACACACACACACACACACACACACACACACACACACACACACACACACACACACACACACACACAGGGAGCCTCGTAGCCTGGTGGATAGCGCGCAGGATTCGTAATTCTGTGGCGCGGGTTCGATTCCCGCACGAGGCAGAAACAAATGGGCAAAGTTTCTTTCACCCTGAATGCCCCTGTTACCTAGCAGTAAATAGGTACCTGGGAGTTAGTCAGCTGTCACGGGCTGCTTCCTGGGGTGTGTGTGTGTGGTGTGGAAAAAAAAAAAAAAAAAAAAAAAAAAAAAGTAGTTAGTAAACAGTTGATTGACAGTTGAGAGGTGGGCCGAAAGAGCAAAGCTCAGCCCCCGTAAAAACACAACTAGTAAACACACACACACACTCACACACACACACACACACACACACACACACACACACACACACACACACACACACACACACACACACACACACACACACACACACACACACACACACACACACACACACACAACATACAAACTATAGCAGCTATTTGACTCCCAGCAACCTGCTGACTGCTTGGTAAACAGAAGGCTCAGATGAAATAAACACTGCCCAATCGTTTCACCCCTCAACCGTTTGTCCTGTGATTAACTCAAAAAAAGATTAACAACAACAACAAAGGCCTTAAAATGACCAAGTTCCAAACAAGCAAAGACTTAAAACACTCCATTAAACATCAATACGTAATCAGATTCTCTCTTTTTCCATCACGGGATCAAACGCCGCCATTGTGTTCCCAACAAACTCTTGCAACTGCTCAGTAATTTGCATATTTATTATGGAAATGTTAAAAATAAACAATGTCGTGACCCATATCAGGTCGCCCCTTGTCTAGGATCATTTTAATTAAAGCAATGTTGATTGAAATGTTTATTTACTGAAATGTTGTGTTTATTTACTGAAATGTTGTGTTTATTGACTGAAATGTTGTGTTTATTGACTGAAATGTTGCATTTATTGACTGAAATGTTGTGTTTATTGACTGAAATGTTGTGTTTATTGACTGAAATGTTGTGTTTATTGACTGAAATGTTGCATTTATTGACTGAAATGTTGCATTTATTGACTGAAATGTTGCGTTTATTGACTGAAATGTTGTGTTTATTGACTGAAATGTTGTGTTTATTGACTGAAATGTTGTGTTTATTGACTGAAATGTTGTGTTTATTGACAGAAATGTTGCATTTATTGACTGAAATGTTGTGTTTATTGACTGAAATGTTGTGTTTATTGACTGAAATGTTGTGTTTATTGACTGAAATGTTGGGCTGAATTGAGGTTGAGGAGTTAGATTGATTTTGTCTAAAAATGTTTGTCTCTATATCTGTCTCTCTGTCTGTCTGTCTCTCTTTTTGTCTGTCTGTCTTTTCGCCCCTTAGTGTCTCTTAACAATATTAATGTGTTTGTAATCTCTTCTGATGCTCTCATTCACCTCACCCTTGAGGGGTAAAGTTGTCACCTCGCCCTTGAGGGGTAAAGTTGTCACCTCGCCCTTGAGGGGTAAAGTTGTCACCTCGCCCTTGAGGGGTAAAGTTGTCACCTCGCCCTTGAGGGGTAAAGTTGTCACCTCGCCCTTGAGGGGTAAAGTTGTCACCTCGCCCTTGAGGGGTAAAGTTGTCACCTCACCCTTGAGGGGTAAAGTTGTCACCTCACCCTTGAGGGGTAAAGTTGTCACCTCGCCCTTGAGGGGTAAAGTTGTCACCTCGCCCTTGAGGGGTAAAGTTGTCACCTCGCCCTTGAGGGGTAAAGTTGTCACCTCGCCCTTGAGGGGTAAAGTTGTCACCTCGCCCTTGACGGGTAAAGTTGTCACCTTGCCCTTGAGAGGTAAAGTTGTCACCTCGCCCTTGAGGGGTAAAGTTGTCACCTCGCCCTTGACGGGTAAAGTTGTCACCTTGCCCTTGAGAGGTAAAGTTGACACCTCGCCCTTGAGGGGTAAATTTGTCACCTCGCCCTTGAGGGGTAAAGTTGTCACCTCGCCCTTGAGGGGTAAAGTTGTTACCTCGCCCTTGAGGGGTAAAGTTGTCACCTCGCCCTTGAGAGGTAACGTTATCACCTCGCCCTTGAGGGGTAAAGTTGTCACCTTGCCCTTGAGGGTAAAGTTGTCACCTCGCCCTTGAGGGGTAAAGTTGTCACCTTGCCCTTGAGGGTAAAGTTGTCACCTCGCCCTTGAGAGGTAACGTTGTCACCTCGCCCTTGAGGGGTAAAGTTGTCAAGTTGCCCTTGAGAGGTAACGTTGTCACCTCGCCCTTGAGGGGTAAAGTTGTCACCTCGCCCTTGAGGGTAAAGTTGTCACCTCGCCTTTGAGGGGTAAAGTTGTCACCTTGCCCTTGAGGGCTAAAGTTGTCACCTTGCCCTTGAGGGGTAAAGTTGTCACCTCGCCCTTGAGGGGTAAAGTTGTCACCTTGCCCTTGAGGGCTAAAGTTGTCACCTTGCCCTTGAGGGTAAAGTTGTCACCTCTCCCTTGAAGGCAAAGTTGTCACCTCGCCCTTGAGGGGTAAAGTTGTCACCTCGCCCTTGAGGGCTAAAGTTGTCACCTTGCCCTTGAGGGCTAAAGTTGTCACCTTGCCCTTGAGGGCTAAAGTTGTCACCTTGCCCTTGAGGGCTAAAGTTGTCACCTTGCCCTTGAGAGGTAACGTTGTCACCTTGCCCTTGAGGGTAAAGTTGTCACCTTGCCCTTGAGGGGTAAAGTTGTCACCTTGCCCTTGAGGGTAAAGTTGTCACCTCGCCCTTGAGGGGTAAAGTTGTCACCTTGCCCTTGAGGGTAAAGTTGTCACCTCGCCCTTGAGGGGTAAAGTTGTCACCTTGCCCTTGAGGGTAAAGTTGTCACCTTGCCTTTGAGGGGTAAAGTTGTCACCTCGCCCATGAGGGCTAAAGTGATCACCTTGCCCTTGAGGGTAAAGTTGTCACCTCGCCCTTGAGGGGTAAAGTTGTCACCTCGCCTTTGAGGGTAAAGTTGTCACCTCGCCCTTGAGGGTTAAAGTTGTCACCTTGCCCTTGAGGGTAAAGTTGTCACCTCGCCCTTGAGGGGTAAAGTTGTCACCTTGCCCTTGAGAGGTAACGTTGTCACCTCGCCCTTGAAGGCTAAAGTTGTCACCTTGCCCTTGAGGGTAAAGTTGTCACCTCGTCCTTGAGGGCTAAAGTTGTCACCTTGCCCTTGAGAGGTAACGTTGTCACCTCGCCTTTGAGGGTAACGTTGTCACCTCGCCCTTGAGGGTAAAGTTGTCACCTCGCCCTTGAGGGTAAAGTTGCCACCTCGCCCTTGAGGGTAAAGTTGTCACCTCGCCCTTGAGGGTAACGTTGTCACCTCGCCCTTGAGGGTAAAGTTGTCACCTCGCCCTTGAGGGTAAAGTTGTCACCTCGCCCTTGAGGGGTAAAGTTGTGTAAAGTTGTATGGGGTCTACCATCCCCCAAGGGATGGGTATGGGGTCCACCCCCCCAAGGGATGGGTATGGGGTCTACCATCACCCAAGGGATGGGTATGGGGTCTACCATCACCCAAGGGATGGGTATGGGGTCTACCATCACCCAAGGGATGGGTATAAGGTCTACCATCCCCCAAGGGATGGGTATGGGGTCTACCATCCCCAAGGGATGGGTATGGGGTCTACCATCCCCCAAGGGATGGGTATGGGATCCACCGCCCCCCAAAGGATTGGAATAGGGTCCACCACCCTCCCCCAAGGGATGGGTATGGAGTCCACCACCCCAAAAGGGATGGTTAAGGGGTCCCCCACCCCCCAAGGGATAGGTATGGGGTCCACCCCCCCCCCCAAGGGATTAGTATGGGGTTCACCACCCCCAAGTAATGGGTATGGGGTCCACTACCCCCCAAGATATAGATATGGGGTCCACCACCCCCGAAGGGATAGGTCTGGGATCCACCACCCCCGAAGGGATGGGTATGGGGTCCACCTTCCCCCAAGGGATGAGTGTGGGGTCCACCACCCCCAAGGGACGGGTATGGGGTCCACCACCCCCCAAGGGATGGGTATGGGGTCCACCACCCCCGAAGGGATGGGTATGGGATCCATCCCCCCCCCCTCCGCAAGGGATGGGTATGGGGTCCAGCATCCTCCAAGGGGATTGTTATGGGGTCCACCTCCCCCCAAGGGATGGGTATAGGGTCCACCCCCCCCCCAAGGGATTGGTATGGGGTCCACCACATCCTAAGGGATGGGTATGGGGTCCACCTTCCCCCAAGGGATGGGTATGGGGCCAACCACCCCCCAAGGGATGGGTATGGGGTCCACCACCCCCATAGGTATGGGGTCAACCACTGTTACGGCCCTCTTGGGTCGCAACTGGGTTCTTTCTCTGATGTCAATAGAGTTTGGGTATCCGGCCCCAAGTTAGTAGTGGCTTTCAAGGGGTGTGTTCCGTAACGCAAGTAAATTAAAGTGGAAGGGAGACAAAGGCAAAAACTTAAATATATAATTATCACCGTCACCATAAATAATATATATTTTATCACACGGGGTAGGTATAAACACTATTATGTACAATATGGTCTTCCTCTGAAGACGCGGAGTGTTCCACGGTGCTCAACGATGCTTAGCTCTTGGTCCTCTTGTGGCCTCACGATGAATCCTTCGATTCTCTCGAGTCTACCCTGGCCACAGGCCAGCCAAATCACAGCTCCACTGGGGGCACCGTCGTGGAGGCCATCAACCACAAATCCAGCCTGTAGCTGGCTGGTTCCAATCAGTTCCGCTGGTTAGGCCACTCCACGACCGATACTAGGGTAGCGAGCCCTAGGCAGGAGCCTCGTGTGTTCCCACAGATCACTCTCCTCACCACAACACCCCAGTGGTTAGTCTTCTCCACCAGTCAGCCCCGGGTACGACAATCCCTGGTTCTGCCACTTCACAGGCAGGCTAACACAACAGTGTTCATCCGGGGGGTGGGGGGGTGACTCACAGCTTCAGCACCAAATGCGTGGAGGTTCTACGGCTGCCTTGGGTAGACTGAATCAACTTCCATTACAGCAGTCCCAGGTCGACTCTGTAATCGGACACGTCATCAGTAATAGGGACACTCTAGGGCACCTCACTTACAGGCTTAGACACAAACGCCCACCTATCCACTCCATAGATGGCGTTGCTGTCAAAACTCCACCTCACCAGAGGTCAGCAGCGGATGTGTTATGAGCTGATCAGGACGGGAAACTAGCCCTTGTGGCCAGTATATCTCGTCCTCACTAGATGGCGTCGTCCATTTGGAGGGGGTTTCAGGAGCTGACCCACAGATGGCGTGGTCGTCACTGCTCCGGGCTCTGACGCTGGACTCGGGTCCGTAACAACCACCCCACCTCGCAAGGGATTGGTATGGGGTCCACCACCCCCAAAGGGATGGGTATGGAGTCCACCACCCCTGAAAGGATGGGTATGGGGTCCACAACCCCCAAAGGGATGGGTATGGGGTCCCCCATCATCCAAGGGATGGGTTATTGGTCCACCACCCCGAAAGGGATGGGTATGGGGTCCTCGACCACTATAGGGATGGGTATGGGGTCCCCCATCACCCAAGTGATGGGTTTGGGGTCCAACACTCCCAAAGGGATGGGTATGGGGTCCAAACTCCCCCCCCCCGCAAGGGATGAGTGTGGGGTCCACCACCCCAAGGGATGGGTGTGGGATCCACCACCCCCCAAGGGATGGGTATGGGGTCAACCGCCCCCCAAGGGATGGGTATGGGGTCCACCACCCTCGAAGGGATGGGTATGGGATCCACCCCCCCCCCTTCGCAAGGGATGGGTATGGGGTCCAGCATCCTCCAAAGGAATTGTTATGGGGTCCACCTCCCCCCAAGGGATTGGTATGGGGTCCACCACATCCTAAGGGATGGGTATGGGGTCCACCTTCCCCCAAGGGATGGGTATGGGGCCAACCACCCCCCAAGGGATGGGTATGGGGTCCACCACCCCCATAGGTATGGGTATGGGGTCAACCACCCCCCCTCGCAAGGGATTGGTATGGGGTCCACCACCCCCAAAGGGATGGGTATGGAGTCCACCACCCCTAAGAGGATGGGTATGGGGTCCACAACCCCCAAAGGGATGGGTATGGGGTCCCCCATCATCCAAGGGATGGGTTATTGGTCCACCACCCCCAAAGGGATGGGTATGGGGTCCTCGACCACTATAGGGATGGGTATGGGGTCCCCCATCACCCAAGGGATGGGTTTGGGGTCCAACACTCCCAAAGGGATGGGTATGGGGTCCACCACCCTTAAAGGTGTGGGTATGGGGTCCAACACCCTCCAAGCGATGTGTATGGGGTCCACCGCCCCGAAGGGATGGGTATGGGGTGTTCGACCCCTAAAGGGATGTGTATTGGGTCCACCACCCTCCAAGCGATGGGTATGGGGTCCACCACCCCCAAAGCGATGGGTATGGGGTCCACCACCCTCCAAGCGATGGGTATATGGGATCCATAACAAATAACTAAGTTAAAAAATAGTTAATTGTTGGAGTGTTATAAGTATATAAGAATCAAATCAACTGCAGTGAGCCTATGCTGGTTGGCCATTAATAGGGTATTAATACCCTATTAATGCCACCTCACCCCATCCACCTCTCTCAAATGTAGATATAAAATCGGAGATGCGTAAGTTCTATTCAGTTGTGTATTTGTAAACTAAAGTCTTTGAAAATGTAATAAGTTTTACGAAACGCGCTCGTGTCGCGTCAGACTAGAAATAAAAATGAATTTTGGAGAATTGATTTATGATTTACCTCCAACAGTGAAAAGAAATGTACGAAAGATTGAGAAAATTCGTGTTAGAATTATTAATCTTACTTTTTCGGTCATATTTAATAATATATATATATAGATATATATGGTCCCTAAACATATGGTCACTGGTCCCTAAACAACAAAAAAGTGTCATCTACATATCTCCTGTACAAGACTGGTTTAAAGGCCGAAGGACAATTATCAAGCCAATTTATTTCGTGAAAACTCAAAAATTGGCTTGATAATTGTCCTTCGGCCTTTAAACCAGTCTTGTACAGGAGATATGTAGATGACACTTTTTTGTTGTTTAGGGACCAGTGTCATATTGAGAAATTTAGAGAGTATCTTAATGCACAACATAGTAATATACGGTTTACTGCAGAGTGTGAAGTTGATAATTCATTGTCGTTTCTTGATGTAAAAGTGAATAACCTCAATGGGTTCAACACTAATGTTTTTAGGAAACCAACCTTTACTGGTTTAGGTTTAAATTTTAATTCCTTTGTTCCTGTTTTTTTTTTTAGAAAAATGCTATTAACACTCTACTGAATAGGGCCTTTGTTTTATGTTCTTATTGGAATAACTTTGATCAGGAAATTAATTTTCTTGTGAAATTTTTTTCAAATAATGGTTATCCTGTGCATATGGTTTATACTTTTATAAGGAATTTCTTATATAAGAAGTTTCACCCATCGTGTAGGATTACTACAGTGGAAAGGGATCTTAAATATATTAAATTACCATTTTATGGCAGTATTAGCTTTTCTGTAAGGAGTCGTTTGAGGAAACTGTTGCAGCAGTGTTATCCTCAAGTAGACTTTAGATTTATTTTTGTCAACACAAATACCATAGGCTCTTATTTTAAATTTAAAGATAAAGTGCCTACCCCCTTGTGCTCAAATGTCGTATATATGTATAATTGTTCCAGCTGTAATGCTGGATATATCGGGAGTTCCATTCGGAACTTTAAGATTAGGATACTTGAGCACCGGGGATTATCTATTAGGACTGGATTACCATTGTCTAAACCAGCATTTTCGGAGATTAGAAACCATTGTTATGAGTTTGATCATTCTCTGCTGGAATCTGATTTTAAAATTCTGGACACTTGTATTGTGGGAACCGACCTGTGAGATTTATATTTATTTAATTTATATGAATTTATATAGAATTTATATTTACGTTAATTTATATACTTCGATAGCAATTTGTATAATGATAAGTGGACTGTATTTCTGCAATAATCTCATAATCTCACAAATCGATCCTCTACACATTAGGGGGGGTTTATATTAATTTATATATATGCAGCCAATCAAACTACAGTATTAGACTACATACATTGAAGAGGTTCCTTATCTTATAGTACAGTAGGCCTTAGTCCACCAGGTATAACCAGGATGTAGAGACCAATCGACTCAATCGACTTGAGAATGGTCCAGGAC